GTCCAAAGGACCCATGGGATGGATGTGAACCCGTAGAGAGGTGGTTCTCACCACGGCTGACACTTTTCCCCGGTCACCAGCCTTTCACCGGAAAAAGAGGTCCCGGAGTCCATCCGAGCCCGTGCAAGGGAGGAGTTCTACCTTGGCCGGATCCACCCGGGTCGTGTGGGGGGTCCGGACCATCCCGGGTGGGAACCGGATCCACCCGGGCCGAGTGGGGGGTCCGGACCATCCCGGGTGGGAACCGGATCCACCCGGGCCGGGTGGGGGGTCCGGACCATCCCGGGTGGGAACCGGGTCCATCCGGGTCGGATGGGGGGTCCGGCCCAGACCATCCAGGGTGGGAACAGGGTCCCTGGCTGGGCCATCCCGGGCCGGGTGGGGGTCCGGACCATCTCGGGTGGGGATCGGATCCACCCGGGGGGCCAGGTGGGGGTTCGGACCATCCCGGGTGGGAACCGAGTCCACACATTCCGGGTGGGAACCGAGTCCACGGAGGCCGGAGGGAAGGGGGGGGGGGTGGGTTCTCGACCATCCCGGGTGGGGACCCGCATCCGCCCGGTCGGGTGGGGTTCCGGACATCTTGGGTGGGGACCGCATCAACCCGGGTAGGGTGGGGGACCGGACCATCCCGGGTGGGAACCGGGTCCACACAGGCCGGGTGGGGGGTCCAGACCATCCCAGGTGGGGATCGGATCCAACGGGGCGGGGTGGGGGTTCCGGACCACCCCGGGTGGGAACCGGGTCCACCCGGGCAGGGTGGGGGTCCGGACCATCCCGGGTTGAAACCGGGTCCACCCAGGCCGGGTGGGGGTCCAGACCATCCCGGGTGGGAACCGGACCCACCCGGGTCGGGTGGGGGGTCCGGACCATCCAGGGCGGGAACCGGGTCCACCCGGGCAGGGTGGGGGTCCGGACCATCCCGAATAGGACCGGGTCCACCCGGGCCGGGTGGGGGTCCGGACCATCCCGGGTGGGAACTGGGTCCACACAGGCCTAGTAGGGGGTCCGTGCCATCCCGGGTGAGGATCGGATCCACCCGGGTCGGGTGGGGATCGGACCATCCCGGGTAGGAACCGGATCCACCCGGGCGGGGTGAGGGGTCCGGACCATCCAGGGTGGGGAGCGGGTCCACCCAGACGGTTTGGGGTCCGGAACATCCCGGTGGGGATGGGACCCACCCGGGTCGGGGTCGGGTGGGGGTCCAGACCATCCGGGGTGGGAACCGGATCCACACAGGCCGGGTGGGGGGTCCGTTCCATCCCGGGTGGGGATCGGATCCAACCGGGCGGGGTGGGGGTTCCGGGCCATCCCGGGTGGGAACCAGGTCCACCCGGGCCGGGTGGGTGTCCGGACCATCCAGGGTGGGAACCGGGTCCACCCAGACCGGTTGGGGGTCCGGACCATCCCGGGTGGGGATGGGACCCACCCGGGTCGGGGTCGGGTGGGGGTCCGGACCATCCGGGGTGGGAACCGGGTCCACACAGGCCGGGTGGGGGGTCCGTGCCATCCCGGGTGGGGATCGGATCCAACCGGGCGGGGTGGGGGTTCCGGACCATCCCGGGTGGGAACCGGGTCCACCCGGGCGGGGTGGGGGGGTCCGGACCATCCCGGGTTGAAACCGGGTCCACCCAGGCCGGGTGGGGGTCCAGACCATCCCGGGTGGGAACCGGACCCACCCGGGTCGGGTGGGGGGTCCGGACCATCCAGGGTGGGAACCGGGTCCACCCGGGCAGGGTGGGGGTCCGGACCATCCCGGGTGGGAACCGGGTCCACCCGGGCGGGGTGGGGGTTCCGGACCATCCCGGGTGGGAACCGGGTCCACACAGGCCTGGTGCGGGGTCCGTGCCATCCCGGGTGAGGATCGGATCCACCCGGGTCGGGTGGGGATCGGACCGCCCGGGTGGGAACCGGGTCCACGCCGGCGGGTGGGGGGTCCGGACCATCCAGGGTGGGAGCGGGTCCACCCAGACCGGTTGGGGGTCCGGACCATCCCGGGTGGGGATGGGACCCACCCGGGTCGGGGTCGGGTGGGGGTCTGGACCATCCGGGTGGAACCGGGTCCAACACGCAGGCCGGGTGGGGGGTCCGTGCCATCCCGGGTGGGGATCGGATCCAACCGGGCGGGGTGGGGGTTCCGGACCATCCCGGGTGGGAACCGGGTCAACCCGGGCGGGGTGGGGGGTCCGGACCATCCCGGGTTGAAACCGGGTCCACCCAGACCGGGTGGGGGTCCAGACCATCCAGGGTGGGAACCGGGTCCACCCGGGCCGGGTGGGGGTCCGGACCATCCCGGGTGGGAACCGGGTCCACCCGGGCGGGGTGGGGGTTCCGGACCATACCCGGGTGGGGACCGATCCCACCCCGGTCGGGTGGGGGTCCGGACGATCCCGGGTGGGAACCGGATCCACCCGGGCCGGGTGGGGGTCCGGACCATCCCGGGTTGAAACCGGTCCACCAGGCCGGGTGGGGGTCCCACCATCCCGGGTGGGAACCGGACCCACCCGGGTCGGGTCGGGTGTTCGGACCATCCCGGGTGGGAACCGGGTCCACCCGGGCCGGGTGGGTGTCCGGACCATCCCGGGTGGGAACCGGGTCCACACAGGCCTGGTGGGGGGTCCTTGCCGTCCCGGGTGAGGATCGGATCCACCCGGGTCGGGTGATGGCCCGGACCATCCCGGGTGGGAACCGGGTCCACCCAGGCTGGGTGGGGGTTCCGGACCATCCCGGGTGGGAACCGGGTCCACTTGGGCGGGGTGGGGGGTCCGGACCATCCCGGGTTGAAACCGGGTCCACCCAGGCCGGGTGGGGGTCCAGACCATCCCGGGTGGGAACCGGACCCACCCGGGTCGGGTGGGGGGTCCGGACCATCCCGGGTGGGGACCGGATCCGCCCCGGTCGGTTGGGGGTCCGGACGATCCCGGGTGGGAACCGGATCCACCCAGGCCGGGTGGGGGTCCAGACCATCACGAGTGGGAACCGGACCCACCAGGGTGGGAACCGGGTCCACCAGGGCAGGGTGGGGGTCCGGACCATCCCGGGTGGGAGCCGGGTCCACCCGTGCCGGGTGGGGGTCCGGACCATCCCGGGTGGGAACGGGTCCCACCCGTGTCGGGTGGGGGTCCGGACCATCCAGGGTGGGAACCGGGTCCACCCGGGCAGGGTGGGGGTCCGGACCATCCCGGGTGGGAGCCGGGTCCACCCGTGGCGGGTGGGGGTCTGGACCATCCTGGGTGGGAACCGGGTCCACACAGGCCTGGTGGGGGGTCCGTGCCATCCCGGGTGAGGATCGGATCCACCCGGGTCGGGTGGGGGTCCGGACCATCCCGGGTGGGAACCGGTTCCACCCGGGCGGGGTGGGGGTTCCGGACCATATCCGGGTGGGGACCGAGTCCACGCAGGCCGGAGGGAAGGAAGGGGGGGGGGGGGGGGGTTTCCGGACCATCTCGGGTGGGGACCGCATCCACCCGGGTCGGGTGGGGGTCCGGACCATCTCGGGTGGGGACCGCATCCACCCGGGTAGGGTGGGGGACCAGACCATCCCGGGTTGAAACCGGGTCCACACAGGCCGGGTGGGGGTCCAGACCATCCCGGGTGGGGATGGGACCCACCCGGGTCGGGGTCGGGTGGGGTCCCGGACCATCCCTGGTGGGAACCACACCCACACCCACACCCACCTAGAGCCCTCAAAGGACCCAAAACCGAAACCGTGGGCGCATCCAAAACATTGAAAAAAAAAATGTCTCTTGGGACCGGAAAGGATCTCGGTCGAGAACCGAAGGTGGTGACCAAAAGGAAAAAGGGCTCTAGGGAGGGCAGGGGCCCTAACAAGGACCCACACCCACCCTAGAGCCCTAAAAGCCTAAAAGGACCCCGGTCGAAACCGAGGGCGTGACCAAAAAAAAAAAAAAAAAAGGGCTCTAGGGAAGGTAGGGGCCCGTGCAACGGCCCGCACCCACCCTAGAGCCCACGAAGGAACCAGGCCGAAATCGAGGTGGTGACCCAAGGGATCCGGTTTTCCGGCCCGGGTCGTTCGACCGACCGATCCGGTCCATCCGACCCACCGGGATGGCCCGGATGGGTCCGGTTCCCCACCGGGATGGCCCGGATGGGTCCGGTTTCTCACCCGGATGGTCCGGATGGATCAGGGTCCCCACCCGGGTGACCCCGATGATCTGGTTCCCGACCCGGATGACCCGGTCGAAACGGTTTTCCACCCGCATGACACGGTCCGGCCCGGTTGATCTGGTTCCAATTCGGTACCCCACCCGGCCTCGGTCCGGTCGATACGCCGGATCCGGTTCATCCGGCTCCCCACCCGGACCATCCGGATGAACCGGTTCCCCGCCCGGTTGGTCCGGATCCCCATCCGGATGGTCCGGTCGGTCCGTTTCCCCACCAGGACGACCGGAACGATCCGGTTCCCCGCCCAGATGACCCGGATGATCTCGTTCCCCCATCCGACTGGTCCGGATTTCCACCCGGTTCCCAACGCGGATGGTCCGAATGGGTCCGGTCCCCCCCCGGATGGTCCGGATGAGCCCGTTTCCCCACCCGGATGACCCGGTCGATCCGGTTCCCCACCCAAATGGTCCGAATGGGTCCGGTTCCCTGCCCGGATGGTCCGGATTGGTCTGGTTCCCCACCCGGGTGAGCCGGATGGTCCGGTTCCCGACCCGGATGACCCGGTTGATCCGGTCGATCCGGTTCCCCACCCGGATGGTCCGGACGGGTCCGGTTCCCGACCCGGTACCCCACCCGGACGGACCGGTTGGGTCCGGTTCCCCATCCGGATGGTCCCGTTGGGTCCGGTTCCCCACCCGGATGGCCGGGATGGGTCCGGTTTCTCATCCAGATGGTCCGGATGGATCAGGGTCCCCACCCGGATGACCCCGATGATCCGGTTCCCGACCCGGATGACTCGGTCGATCCGGTTTTCCACCCGGATGAACCGGTTTCTCGGCCGGTCGGACCGGTTCCCCACCCGGTTCTCCATCCGGATGCTCCGATCGGTCCGTGTCCCCACCCAGATGGTCCGGATGGGTCCGGTTTCCCGCCCGGTCCGGTTCCCCACCCGGGGATGGTCCGGATGGGTCCGACTCCCCACCCGGATGGTCCGGATGGGTCCGGTCCCACGCGCGGATGGTCCGGATGGGTCCGGTTCTCCACCCGGATGACCCTGGTTGATCCGGTTCCCCACCCGGATGGTCGGGACGGGTCCGGTTCCCCACCCGGATGACCCGGATGGTCCGGATGGGTCCGGTTGTCCACCCGAATGACCCGGATGATCCGGTTCTCCTCCCGGATGACCCGGGTGATCCGGTTCCCCACCCGGATGACCCGGTTCCCTACCCGGATGGTCCGGATCGGTCCGGTTCCCCACCCGAATGACCCAGATGGGTCCGGTTGTCCACCCGGATGGTCCGGTTAGGTCCGTTACCCGACCCGGTACCCCAATCGAACGGTCCGGTTGGGTCCGGTTCCCCACCTGGATGGACCGGCTGGGTCCGGTTCCCCACCCGGATGACCCGGATAATCAGGTTCCCCATCCGGATGGTCCGGTCGATCCGGTTACCCACCCGCACGACCCGGATGATCCGGATGATCCGGTTCCGGGTCCTGTTCCCTAC